GAAATATACAGTTCAGGTTCAAGAAGTGACTTAAATGTACTATTTCAGCCGTATCGTAACAGGATATATTGATACTAAATAATGTTCAGTTGTAAAATATGTCGACATAGGACAGTAAAACAACTAAATTGTCACAGAAGGAGAGTTTGGCATGTGACGTTAATATTATACCTCTGTTCAGGACAATACATTATAGAAATGGGTTGCAGATTACCAGCATTTGATGGTAGAACACCATACTTGGGACTATAAGGACTTACAGTACATTTGCCATCTGCATGGACCCTAGCTGTATTCACATCATTCCTTTGGATGTTGGCGATTTTGTACAAACATTAAAAGAACTCATAATCACGGAGGATGAAAAATACTTCCAATGAAATGTGACTAACCTACGTACCCTCTCAGGGGTATTTTATGCCACTTCAGCCCCTCTTAATCAATTCCTCCATAACAAAATAAAATAAAATATAGCTGCGAGCAGCCATGGTCTTTATGTGAATAAGTCCTTTAGGACCAGGTTACCCTTTGAGAACTTCCTCGGATGATATTAAAGTGAATATGAGGTTCAACAGGAGGCCAATGTAGAGATTTATATATATTTCTATATAATTTATTTCAAAGCTCATAGTAATGGATCTGAGAATATTATTCGATACCACGGGAAAAATATAGGATAAGAACCCGTGGTTCACACTGTCAGGAACACAAACCTTGGTAGCCTTATCTGGACCGAGCCGCGTTTGTACACAGCCGTGGGTGGTGTGAACTATAGTACGCAACGTGATACTTTGTTCTCCTGGAATCATGTTTTCCTTTTCTGTTTTTTGTCTAACTAGCTACGGGGATACAATCGCATTATACAGCTGGCAATCATAGTCAAATGAACATTCAAAGTATGGTCGAAAACTACGTGATGTATGAGGTACTAGTGGTTGAAGTGATGTATGGAGAAAAAGTGATTGAAGTGATATATAAGGTACAAGTGATTGAAGTGAGGTGAGGTGAGGTGAAATTGGGTTTAACGTCGTGCTTGAGAATATTTCGCTCATATGACGACGTGCATGCGTGTGTATGTGTATGTGTATGTGACGCTGCTTGTACTAGCCCAGACTTAAGCTGGTTTTATAGTGCTAACCCACTGAGATACCATGCCGCAATGAAGCATGAATACCCCACTCAGACACATTATACTGACTCCGAGGTATTTTGGTATGACGCGGACGCTCTTACCACTACACCACGGAGGCGGTCCAATGATTGAAGTGATGTATAAGGTACAAGTGATTGAAGTGATGTATAAGGTACAAGTGACTGAAGTGATGTATACGGTACAACTGATTGTATAAGTGATTGAAGTGATGTATAAGGTACAAGTGATTGAAGTGATGTATAAGGTACAAGTGATGTATAAGGTACAAGTGATTGAAGTGATGTATAAGGTACAATGATTGTATATGTGATTGAAGTGATGTATAAGGTACAAGTGATTGGAGTGATGTATAAGGTACAATGATTGTATAAGTGATTGAAGTGATGTATAAGGTACAAGTGATTGAAGTGATGTATAAGGTACAATGATTGTATAAGTGATTGAAGTGATGTATAAGGTACAAGTGATTGAAGTGATGTATAAGGTACAATGATTGTATAAGTGATTGAAGTGATGTATAAGGTACAAGTGATTGAAGTGATGTATAAGGTACAACTGATTGTATAAGTGATTGAAGTGATGTATAAGGTACAAGTGATGTATAAGGTACAAGTGATTGAACTGATGTATAAGGTACAATGATTGTATAAGTGATTGCAGTGATGTATAAGGTACAAGTGATTGCAGTGATGTATAAGGTACAAGTGATTGAAGTGATGTATAAGGTACAATGATTGTATAAGTGATTGCAGTGATGTATAAGGTACAAGTGATTGAAGTGATGTATAAGGTACAATGATTGTATAAGTGATTGAAGTGATGTATAAGGTACAAGTGATTGAAGTGATGTATAAGGTACAAGTGATTGAAGTGATGTATAAGGTACAATGATTGTATAAGTGATTGAAGCGATGTATAAGGTACAAATGATTGAAGTGATGTATAAGGTACAAGTAATTGAAGTGATGTATAAGGTACAAGTGATTGAACAGATGTATAAGGTGCAAGTGATTGAAGTGATGTATAAGGTACAAGTGATTGAACAGATGTATAAGGTACAAGTGATTGAAGTGATGTATAAGGTAGAAGTGATTGAAGTGATGTATAAGGTACAATGATTGTATAAGTGATTGAGGCGATGTATAAGGTACAAATGATTGAAGTGATGTATAAGGTACAAGTGATTGAAGTGATGTATAAGGTACAAGTGATTGAACAGATGTATAAGGTGCAAGTGATTGAAGTGATGTATAAGGTACAAGTGATTGAAGTGATGTATAAGGTACAAGTGATTGAAGTGATGTATATGGTACAACTGATTGAAGTGATGTATAAGGTAGAAGTGATTAAAGTGATGTATAAGGTACAATGGATTTGAAGTGATGTATAAGGTACAACTGATTGAAGTGATGTATAAGGTAGAAGTGATTAAAGTGATGTATAAGGTACAATGGATTTGAAGTGATGTATAAGGTACAAGTGATTGAAGTGATGTATAAGGTACAAGTGATGTATAAGGTACAAGTGATTGAAGTGATGTATAAGGAACAAGTGATTTCTAAGGTACAAGTGATTGAAGTGATTTCTAAGGAACAAGTGATGTATAAGGTACAAGTGATGTAAAATGTACACGTGATGTATAAGGTACAAGTGATGTATAAGGTACAAGTCATTAAAGTGATGTATAAGGTACAAGTGATGTATAAGGTACAAGTGATTGAAGTGATGTATAAGGTACAAGTGATGTATAAGGTACAAGTCATTGAAGTGATGCATAAGGTACAAGTGATGTATAAGGTACAAGTGATGTATAAGGTACAGATAATTAAAGTGATGTATGAGGTACAAGGGATTGAAGTGATGTATAAGGTACAAGTGATGTATAAGTTACAAGGGATTGAAGTGATGTATAAGGTACAAGTGATTGAAGTGATGTGTAAGGTAAAAGGGATTAAAGTGATGTATAAGGTACAGATGATTAAAGTGATGTATAAGGTACAAGGGATTGAAGTGATGTATAAGGTTCAAGTGATGTATAAGGTACAAGTGATTAAAGTTATGTATGGGGTACAAGTGACTGAAGTGATGTATAAGGTACGAGTGATTGAACTGTACTTGAGGGCAAGAAATCGTGCGTAGATCTCATATCCAAGAACACGTTTCTGACACGAGAGAGGATCTCTTGGAGACAGTCGAGGCGGGAGATCTCGGGGTCGTGTACCTATCAAGTAGTCAGGGAGAAGAAATAACATGATGTAGCTGAGCTGTTGTAAGGCCAATTCTTAAAACAATTAGTGTTCTGGAATCTGCAGGAACTCAGCTATCAAACATAGCTGTTACGCAGCTTTAAGAAAGAGTTTTCCATGCTAAGTGTCCTGGACGCAAAGTATGGAAAAAAAATTTAATCTCTGGAGCTGATGGTTCGAGCTCCTCACATTTTGAGAGACAAGTACTCAGAAAAATGATGAAAAACACTGTCCAAAACATCAACCAATCACTTCTCACCCGCAATCGCCTAAATGTGATTCTTACCAAAATATCAATATGAAATGTCTATTATGCAATGAATTTACAAAGACTGTCCAACACCTTGTCAGTGGATGACCTTCCTTGGCACAGACAGCCTACTTTAAAAGACATGATAGCATCTCGTTGTTTCTACTACCGTCTTCGCCATGCCTGTGACTTTGACTCCGAGGTCCATTCATGGTACGACCCTGTCCATGTCCAGGGTATCATGGAAAATGACAGCTTTAAACGTCTTTGGAATAGACCCATATACAGCCAACAAACCTGTCCTTTATTTACATCATTGAATTTTCTGTCCCTTTTGACAGCAACGTGAATGGCAAGATTCAGGAAAAACATGGGTTTCCTTCGTATGAATAACAGAAGCTGACCTTTTATGAAAAGCTACTACATTTTAATCATATAACCATGGTTATACTAAAACCAATACATGGTTCCTAGAGTTCATTTTAACACAGGCAAATACATCATATGATAATGGCACCTAAGTAATGGAGATGTCTTTGGATGACAGAGCGACATAGATCGTATTCTTTGATAACACTAATTCCATTTGGCCATACATGTCATCAATAACCTCCTTCTGAGTGCCTTCATAAGTTGAAAATTTAATGTGCTACTAAATGCATACGTCAACATTTAGAGTGGTATTTTGTCAGTTGCATTAGCAGAACACGTTTACACTGCATTATAGGGCCATTATAGCTGACACTGAGATATTTGTAATGAGCACACACGAAAACTGTGATACACTCTGAGAAGACTTATCTGCGTCGATGGCAACGTTGTGGTGCGACTAATAAGAGACGTTCAAAACTTCATGTACAATTTAAGCCTGGACTAGTTCTACTGTAATATACCTTTGCCATAGACAGTCGCCAGAACAGAAGTGGTGTGTGGTACTGGAATCATGCATTGTATCCAGAGACCCATTTTTGTGTTTTCATAAAACATTTTTAAACTGACGTGCAAGCTATTTCCCAAGGACTTAATGGCGGGGGTCTGCTCTGTTTCCAAAGAAAAACGACCATGTAATTTCCTCTGACATAAATAAAATTTAGATATCATGTTTGTTTAAATTAAACAGGAATAGTAAATACGAAGACATTTTACATTAAGTGCTTTAAGAACTGAAGAAACATAAAACACTCACATACATACCAATACATAGAAGAAGTACCTCAACATATCTGCCCTGAAAAACAGTACCCTACATATACTGATGGTCAAATTTGAGGCAACACTTGATTGAACATGATGTAAATGAAACTATGCAAATGTTAACATTGAATGAATAACAGTTTTCCGTGGCCTACGTGTTCGTCTCTCCAGTTCAGAAAACAATATGCACGTGCATTACATGTTTTGCTCGTGCATGAAGGTGAAATGCATGCATGTACACATTTCACAAGACCATGTTTAGAGAGTAGTACTGTGTGAGTTGATGATTCAGTAATATGGCTCGCAACCAGTAACCTGAGGCCACAAAATGGCAAACTGTAGGCATGAGAGAAGGCGGCATGTCCTTGCGACAGATTACAAGACGCGTTAACGTCTGTCACAGCGTCATCAGCAAGTTGCTGAAAAAACACCACAGGAGAGGTGAAGTCAAGGTTACCGCAGGTCGAGGTCGACCCAAAAAGACCGATTTGATGGATGATAGACGGCTGCTACGAATGGCACATCAGGTCTTCAAATCAATTCCGTAATGGTGGCATCAAACGACGGGAGTGAATGTGTCACTGGAGCTGGTCAACGCTGAATGCAGAGACGTATGGCCATGACATCATCGAGAACACTCTGCTTCCTGTTCTGCATACCAATCCTCGTGTTACGCACATCTACCAGCACGCCCTCATCGTTCTAGGATCATTACCGACCCTGACAGGCAGCATAACACTGAATCCCTCGATTGGCCAAGTGTAAGTCCAGATCTTAATCCGATCGAACATGCGTGGTGCGCGATTGGTAAGCATATTTCCGCCAGCCATTGGCCAACATTCGAGAAATCAGGCAGGCCGTGCTTGACGCATGGAACAATCTGCCCCTGCATTTTTTTCGTAAACTCATGCTATCGATGAGGAGACGCCATCAGGAGGTGATAAAGGCTAATGGAGGAGGATTCACTACTGGTGATGACCCAGTTATTGTTTCAAATGTCAATTTTAGTGGATTCCATTTCAAGAAGTTCTATTCTTCCACAAAACTTTACAGAGTTGGCAAAATGAAGACATTTTGTTATCAAAATGTGAATACCTTTTGTTATGCCCATTTTTGGTGAATTTACCCTATATTTCTCCATTTTCACCATTTTTGAAGGTCACGTTGCATTTTGCGCACCAAACATGCATCTGAAAGCTTCCGTGACTTCAAATTTTAGGTGTTGCTTCAAATTTTACCATCAGTATATAATTATCCCAGTTAGGCCAGTCAAATTAGCAAAGGTCGGGAAAAAAGGATGAAGAAATGAAATTTGACAGATATGTTCTACAAACCTTCCTCCATACTAAATAGTCCTCTGAAATCCCACTTGAGCTAATTCCATAGTGCACGTGCAAACATGGCTATCCTATGCAACCTTTTGCTAACCTAGAAGACCAATTGTGCTTGATAGAATAGTCACAACTTCTTTATTTCTGTACATAAGTACATAAATGTTTGACGACTGAGTGAATATATCTCAAGATTGTTGACTATTATTTCAGAATTATTTCACATTTCGGAGTTGTGGCCCTTTTTTGTGCGAAAAATATATTTTTTATATGTTTTTACCCTTGCATGACACAAACACCTATAGGTATAATGATAAGGCTTAGATATGTCCAAAATACCTTGAAGTGTATAGTTCAATGTCTTTTTCACCACAAACCACCAAATATAACATAATAAAATCATGTTTTTGCATTTTGACTGAACCTGAAAATTTGCAATTTGGGGCATTTTTAGAAGTCAGTGAAAACTCAATAAATGGATCAACAATTGCAAGTGAAATTGTAGAAATTCATAAAAACCAATTGGAATAGACATTTCCATACTATAAAAAGAGTTATCGCCCTTGGATACTCACAATTTCAAGAAAATATCATAACTCTACCTGACAGTACCTAAAAACAACTGATATTCTGCACAATACCAAGCCTATCAAACACTATTTACAGATTATTTAACAGGGCATCCTCAAACACGTATGATTACAGATCTAGAAAGATAAAGATTTCCTTGCCTGGAGGAAGTTGAAGGCTGTGGCTCATCTTCAACTTCACTCTCATCAGCGTCTCTGGAAGACAATTCATGAGATGTTTCATCAGATGGTAGTTCATGATCTTCTCCATCCTCCTCTGCAAGGTATACTGTGTATGAATTGCTGCAACTACTGTGACAATATCCACATAGACGCGAACATTTCAATCCTGCCTTTCATGCACCCACACATACGCTCACACCCTGTTTTATAATTGCATTTGATCATGTTGATCAATCAATGTCTCTGGTGCTGGGGGGATCACGGGTTGTTTCTGGCTTAAGCTGACCACAAACAGCTTGCCATCCCAATTCATTTGGTGGAAGACTTCTTCCAAGCCATGGCTGCACTTGCAGATAAACCCTCTGACAATGTTCTCTCGCCGCTGCCGACGTAGGTGGGAAGGCAGATAACTGCATTTGTGTGTGAATGGGACACTTGGCAACGACTCTTGTGAAGCAATGATATCTGTGCTCATTCACGGATTTAACAGACTTAGGTGCTCCATACAATGCCAGTAAGAACTGCTCTCCTGCAAACGCAACCATAGCCTTTGTGGATAATTGATTATGGAACGCTTTGACAAGTGGTTGCAAGTCCTGTCGTTTTGTGAACAATATGCCAGCTTTTTCTTTCCCTGTCGGCACAAGGCTGATGAAGTGTCACAACCAGTCATGGCATGGAGAAAGAGCAACCCAGAAATGAAGCTCCCCGGCAATGCTGGCCGTAACAACGAACTGTTATATAATACAACACACTTGATATAGATGTGCAACTTCTTTATTATTTACACACAACGTTTCTGGGCTAATACTTGCCCCTTCATCAGGTGAATGACAGTGAATAATTACAGAGGTATATATAGTATGTACAGGAAGCCACAGAGTTGTTTTTACAAACGTATATATAGTATGTACATGAAGCCACAGAGTTGTTATTACAACAGATTGGTAAGGGGATTAAGTTAAATAGGGTATACATACTGTTTGTACAACATGTTTACACAGAGTGAATGACCACAGATGGAAGCCAGTAACGGATATACAGTGATAGAGGTTAGGTGATTGAGATGTACAATAATAGAAATTAGGCGATGGGATGTACAGCATGTTTTGGTAAACATCATTGTTGGAGGGAAATTAGTTAATACACCAAGCATTGGGAAGGAAGACACCCTGGTCCCTATTATATAGACGATCAGCAGTCTTTCCGCTCTCAGTTTTAAGAAAGCACACAAATGGATGAGGAGCACCAGAAGATCAACATCAGTCCCAACAACAATGGCTTTGTGCCCATTATCAGCACAATCAATACATGTTTGTACAATGAGAAGGTCAGCATCTGCACTTGCTTGTTTCACTGGGATATTGAGCTCGTGAAATTGTTGTGTCAGAGCCTTTATCAAATGTGACTTGTTTTTACCATTAGGCAGGAATTTATCCTGCTTGATCGCCAATGGTGTTTCAGAATTGAACACAAAATCATGAGAACCTGTTCAATTGTCATGTCTGTCCAGATGCCAGCCCACATCTTGTCACTTCGCCTGACAGTAAAACCACCAAACCTGGTAAAAGCTTCAAATTCATCCTTGGGCATAATATCCCCCAATTGTGACATCTGTTGAACATACAGGTGGTCACTTCTGGCATAAGCAATATGTCCTGCAGCATGAAAATATGGTATCATCCTGCAGGCAGCATCAAGATGAAGATCCCAGTCTCCTATTCTTTCAGCTAGAATCAACCGGTGTATCAAAGAAACTTGCTCAAAATATTGACACCACAACTTGGCACTTCTGCTTGGAGACTATTCAAATTCCATGACTGCATTCAGTATTTCGACATGGTTTGTGACATTGGCAATTGCTGGAAGTTCATCAGGGATCACATGGTTGGTTTGAACATCCTTATACAAAGTCTTCAGACAAGCTTTACTTGTTTCATCCAGGCTGACCTTCTTGTTTATTCAAGGCAATAACAGCCATCCATTATATAACCGACCCATTAAAGACATAAGGAGATGGAAACAACCACGTCTGACAACAACTGAAGCTAGAGTTCTTTTGTTCTGGTATGTAGCTACAATATCAACAGCTTTCTCATATAGAAGTTGGTCAAATGTCACAAAACATGTTTTCCGTCCATGTTTCCTGCGTTTGTCAGCAGAATATGCCAGCACACAATATATTGCGTCTGGATTCGATGCCTGCAAGTTGACAAATGGCAATGGGATCACTTTGCCATGGGATACTTCATAATTGTCAACACTTCTGGCACACTCCATGTATCCATGCAGGGAGCGTCCTCCAATTTCAACCGTGCTCCACTCATCCAAAGCGAATATGCACAGAGTTAGGAGAGGTCAGCTTTCTGACATTGGAAATGTCATCAACAGTCAAACCAAGCAAACATTTTTGCTCTAAAATGAACAAGTCAAAATATCAATTGACTTGGACCTGACATTGTCTGCTGAAACAGCTTTGTTACACATGATAACATCAGATATACAGACAGAACTACATGATTCCACCCATACTATGAATTGTGCCATATCCATCAAGTGTGCAAACATTACAATCTGCATTGTCAAAGACAAATTGCATAAAGGCATTTTCACCAATCTCATGATCTGCAGCCATTGCAGAATGTTCATAGGAAATAGCCTCATTATATGATGAACACACTCCCAAGCTGACATAACATCCGGAAGATGCTTAGATCCAACTTGTCGGTGAATATACACGACTAAACCAAGATGTTTCTTAGAAAGAAATGATCTTTCTCTTGTTGCTGAGAGTACTTGGTGACAAATAACAGATGCCTCCCTTTGCTTTGTAGCAACATCACCTTTCCTATCTTTGTTTGTAATCCTTTCGACCAAAACAGTGAGAGTATTAGGCACATTCATCATGTGATTATGAAAAGCATCATCAGCAGGAGTGTAATGGTTAGTATCACAAAGCCTGATGTCCTCCCGTATGATATCCGCAGCTGTTTTCACTATGCGCAAGCGTTCTTCTTCAGGGTTCCCCAACTTCTCAGAATACTATGCATCGCTAAGGATTTTGTAGCCAGTATTATTAATGCAAAATAACGGTTTCCTTCCACGAATGCTAGAAATGATAACACCATCACCGAAAGGAGCTAGCAGTTTTGATCTAAGGGATTTTTCACTACATTCAATCTCACCATCAACATGAAGTTTTTTCATCTGCAGGTCTACCCTTCCCTCGGATAGAACGTGGTCTGTTAACGATTTCCTATAACACGTATGGTGATACCTGGCTTCGGCAGCAACTAAATCTATGGCGCTTCATATCCGTTCAATAACTGCTTGACCCCACACATCACCACGATATTCAGTCATGTGAAGAATGGAATCTTTCTAACTTGTCTTTAGTTTTTTTAGTCTCTGAGACTATATCACAATTGTCTCCACAGAACAAGCAATTCATTTTGAAATTGACAGTGATGATCTTAAGGAAACCGTCATTCGAGGTGAGGGATTCACAGCTGCTAAAATAGAAGATTCACGAGTGTAATCTTTGCGGCAGTTTACATGAACTGAAACTGAAGATATTCCAGATAATTTTTCAGCAATTCCATCTTTGCGCCTTATACTACTTTGCAGTAAGGTAGTTAGACCTCTTGTGACGGTGACAATATCATCAGGAGATAAACTTTTGCTGCATATGATACACATTAATGTTCAATTTGCCATGAAAATATTAAAATGTTTCCTTATCAGTAACTTTGATGAATATTATTGTGATAAGGTTCATGCATACTGGTTATTACAAAACGAGGGATAGGGGTTGGGGGCAACAGTGTTTTCTGGCTGGTATGCAAATCAATGAAATTTCGCGTTTTGCCAGTTTCAATTTAAATGTTTAAATGAAATGTGTCTTCCAACTATTTGGTACCATTGGATAGATAAATCATAGGACAATTTATTCATTTCTGTATAAGACCAATTACACTTCATATCAAAAAGTTTCAGGCCAAAATACAGACCCAGGGTCACAATTTCCTAGAAATCTATTTTTACAACAAAACGGGATGTGCACGTGAGGCAAATAATTAGTTTTTACTTTTTAAAGTATTTTTATATACGTGCATTATAATCCATTATATCTGTCAAATTGGATGAGATTATATTCACAAATACAAAATATAAGAGCATTTCTGTTTTTAAAACAGGATTTTCTTAGAAGAAAAATTATGGTAGGGTATGCATGTTTGCACGTGCACTGTGGATTTAGCTCAAGTGGGATTTTTGGGGACTTTTAGTATGTTATGCAGGAAGGTCCATAGAATATATGTGCCAAGTTTCGTTTCTTCATAAATTATTTCCGACCTTGGCCAAAAAAATTGCTAATTTGACTGGCCTATATGTTTTAGTACCACTGATACAAAGTGATCCTCCAGTTGCAAACATGGGTTAAGAAAGTTCAGTAAAAATGTTACAATAATGAGAGGTGACTGAAAAGTTCTATTCTTTAGAACGGAAAATCTGTCACACCCTTGTCAAATACAACTCTACTGGCAATGGTTGCAATAACTGTTTTAGATATCAGCAGATGCGTTCTCGTTGGGTGGAGAGACATGGTGATGTTGCAGTGCCGATGACGATGGGGGTGTAGATGACGGTTAAGGAGCAGATAAGTGTGAGTGTGTACATGATCATGAGCGTAAAGGTTCGCATGAAAATGATGGTGAAGGTGTAGATGCGGGTTAAGGTGTAGATGAGTGTGAAGGTGTAGATGAGGGTGAAGGTGTAGATGAGGGTGAAGGTGTAGATGAGGGTGAAGGTGTAGATGAGTGTGAAGGTGTAGATGAGGGTAAAGGTGTAGATGAGGGTGATGGTGTAGATGAGGCTGAAGGTGTAGATGAGCGTGAAGGTGTAGATGAGGGTGAAGGTGTAGATTAAGGTGAGGGTGTAGATGAGGGTGAGGGTGTAGATGAGGGTGAGGGTGTAGATGAGGGTGAGGGTGTAGATGAGGGTGAAGGTGTAGACAAGGGTGAGGGTGTAGATGAGGGTGTAGAGGGTGAGGGTGTAGATGAGGGTGAGGGTGTAGATGAGGGTGAAGGTGTAGATGAGGGTGAGGGTGTAGATGAGGGTGAAGGTTACATGCTGTTGTTAATGTTAATCTGATGTTTTTCACAACATACCATGTACATATACTTCTCATCATTGCCTTGTAATATACTAACAGAAACTATACAGCGCATAACATAAAATTGCACAAACTAACAGTTATTTGGAAAGTTAATGAAAGTTAATGATGTTACCGCGCGTGACATGTGCACTTTGTGCACAATGGACTAAGTCACTTTTTGCATGCCTTTTGGCAACTGAAGTTGGCACCATGTATTGAAAATTGAAGAGCAGTTGATTATTGTCTAGCCTCTGAATGTTGTGTAAAACACATTAATTTCAATCTAAACTGCGAGTCATACCATGGCTTATAGAATATTAGCATCTCCGTGTTTATCCTGGAGACAGAACTGGCCGAAAATGAAGTAGCCATACATTTTCGTGTCTATCTAATCACGATATCATCTCTATTGAGACACTTTCAACATAATGGGAACACGAGAAATTTGCCTCGGACCGGACGTACACGCATGACGTCACGTCAACAAGGCAACCATATTCGGCTGACCCATCTAAGGAAATCGATTCCAGACTACCCGTTTGACTGGTCGGACTATTCCTGGCTTATGTGCAGTAAGTTCCAGGACTGTAGGGAACTGACTGAGGGAACATAACATCCGGCCCCGACGGGCTGCAATACGTCCAATTTTGCTGCAACGTCACCGACAGGCACGTTTTGCCTGGTGCTGACAGCATCTACGGTACAGGAGACAGAATTAGGATGGTGCTTGTTCACTGACGAGTCAAGATTCATCTGGACAGCTCAGAAGGCAGAGCAAAGGTGGCGAGAGGCACAGACGGCGGGGTGAACTGTATGCTGTCCCGTACGTGGTTCAAAGTTGATAGTTTAGTGGCGAAAGCGTTATGGTATCGGGAGTCATGAAATCTCATGTGGGACACAACTTGTCAATAAAACCACCTCTTGGGATAAGAATAAAACCAGTCATTCTTCCTGCTGGCATTGATCTGGAAAATAGAGCTCCTTTCCGTCTGCATTCTCTTCCTGGTCAATTAGTAAGGCCAAGTCTTGGCAATCTGACAGGTCAGCGATAAAGGGATGAAGTTTTTGGGCCTCATTTGCAGCCTTTCATTCAAGGACAGAGGAGTTACTTCAAGCTTCAGAAAGATAATGCCCGTCCACTTGTCGCTCGTGTTGTAACAAATTTCCTGAGTCAGCAGAACATTCCGGTAACCCCTGGCCAGCTGTTTCTCCGGGCCTGTCCCCTGTCGAGCACACTTGGGATGAAAGTGAGCAACATTTACTTCAAGCCGAGCATCAGTATGATAGAACATTGTGCTGGCCTGACTGATACATATCATTTGTGGTATAATGGCATATTTTCATTATTTCAGACCGCTGTGAAATAGCCATTGACGTCAGCTCAATTGGGACAAGCGTTGATTTCAAACATGTAACAACATTCCCCAAGCTTTCTTCAATCGCTTATTGTCGTCTATGCGAACTGACTTTTGACACCGCATTTTTTCAAGCTCGTGTCACGATGCCTAGTGTCAAGTCATACAGATTTTGTTATCATCCTGTCAACAGTTAAACAGTGATTAAGGAAAACACCACCAATGATGTTCTTACCTTTTTTTTACATAAAACAAACTGGCACAACATCAAATAATGCATAGTTACTTTATTCCAGTAGTACCGAAACTTTGCTCAGTGCAATAATCAAGAAGTTGTTATCCATTAAGTCGTATGCTTTATTATTACTACAGTCTATCTCATTATACAAATGGGGCGGTGGGGTAGCCTAGTGGTTAAAGCGTTGGCTCGTCATGCCGAATTTCTGGTGTCCCCCGCCGTGATGTTGCTGGAATATTGCTAAAAGCAGCGTCAAACCAAACTCAGTCAGTCAGTCATTATACAAATACGTAAATACACAATGTCCCCTGCACAAAAGGTATAAACATGGAGCAGATATGAGCATCTGCTGGAAATGGTTGTTCCTAGGATTTGTAAAACACAGCTACACATCATTAAATAAACTTCCCTTTTTCGTGACGGTGATCTTTCGAAACAGATTCTTGTGCCCTTGCACGTCGCACTCATGAAATATAGAGGTCGTTATCCATAAAGTTTGTCTGCATTGCACTTGCCAACTTCTCAAATGCCACTCAAAGAAAACATATAGGTTGCTATGAACAATGTCTCGCGGACATGTTCCATCCACCTCTCTGGAGAAAAAGAATACATCGAGGTACCCGGACTTTGAAAGTTGGCACTCTCCGAACTCGTTATGCTCGTATGTAATACAAGTAAATTTCTTTTCTGTAATGCACATTTTAGAGCATTCTTTTGCAGTTGTATCTTTTGCTTTTCTATTGTTGTGTCCTTTGATACCCAGTCCATGGTACGTCGTGAATCCGTCACCATACGTTTTGCAACCTGAGGAATACAGTGTTCCGCCGTTCATATTGAGTTTAATATTGAAGAATAGATTCCTGGATTTGTAAGAAAAAATATTGAATTTTCGAACATGTCGTATTTACTTGTTGCGTAATTTAATATAAGTTTAGATATTCTTCTAGTGCACAGTAATTAGCTGAACATTTGGCAGCATTCCACTTAAGGGTGGGAACCACACGTGTTCAGTAGATACACTGCATAACAGCAAGTTACTTTTGTCTGAGTTACATTTCGCGGAAATGCAATTTATCACCACGCCCAACAAGATGATGCGAGCTAGGGATCTGTAAAATGCCTGTCCCTATCAAGTGAGACAAATACCATTTAATACCCAAACTATCTTTGTTTACGGTTACTGAGACAATACGTAACCACATATCAAACAACATACCGTGATTACTGCCAATAATCTATCTGCATTTCCTGAGATCGACTTATAAAACATCCCTTTCCAAAACTGACTTACGTCTGACGCAGCTGTTCTTGGCAGGGTTGAAGCTGTACCCTGGTACACACTTGCAGGTGTTGATGAAGCACACGAACGTTACTGGGCAATCAGAGTTGGTTGAGCATCTCATTTCAAGGGTGCTGCTGACAGTATGACCTGCGAGTGTTTGTAGAAAATTCAGGCTTCATTTCATATGAACGATACAGGACACAGTTACATTCTCTCCATTAAACTACTTACATTGTGTGGAGCAATTTTAAGGTCTCTAGCTAAATGAATCAAAGCATCCAAGTTTTCATTTATCTGATCTCGTGTCTGTGTGCAAACACACACATAGTTTCATCGTCACCCTCATGGTAAACTTTAATTTCCAAATCAGTTTCACCCCAGTTCCATTCACACCCTCAACTTCTAAACATTTACTACTCCCAGTTGCAACTTCAGAACATCACCCACAACTTTACCCATCAGTCATCTACACCTTCACTCCCAGTTTAATCCTCACAAAATTGCCTAGATCGATCTTCATGTTGTTGATCACTGGATTGTCTGAACTTGATTATGTACAGAGCGCCGCCATATAGCGCGAATATTGCTGAGTGCGGCGTAAATATATAAACTCACTCACTCGCTCATCTTCACAGTTTCACCCATCAACACCTCCACTCCAAGTTTCATCCTCACAACTTCACCCACAGCTCCACCCATCAACCGTCAAACCCTTCACACTCAGTTTCATCTTCACAGCTTCACCCATCAACCGTCTACACCTCCACTCCATGCTTCATCCTCACAACTTCACCCACAGTTCCACCCATCAACCGTCAAACCCTGCACACTCAGTTTCATTCTCACAGCTTCACCCATCAACCGTCAAACTCTTCACAAACCCTGACCCTCATCTGCACCCGCACCCTGAGTAACACCCTCACCCTAATCAACACCCGCAACCCCTTTTACAGCCCGACCCTCATCTACAAGCTCACCCCAGTCTACACTGTCCGTCGTCTATGCTCTGACCCCAATCTACAACCTTATGTCCATCTCCACCATAACCATCATCTACACTCTTCATCCAGATGAACACCATGACATTCAATTGTTACACAGTGAATGTTTCACAAGCATAACAAAATGACCTTATCTGGATAAATATAGGAACCTTACCATTAACACAGAGTGCACCGTCACGACGTTTCTCGACACACGAGGTGTTAGATTTACAGTTCCCGAGGGGGCACGCACCTGTTGAAATCTAAACCAAACATAATAATTTACAATAATACTACTTAAAGTAGAGATGTTCTTTTTGTCAAGGGTGTGATGTGAAAAAGGCAATGTGTGGCAAAGGGTTTATCTGTATCACCTTCCCATTCTAAAATTCTCAATTGCCTCGAGGGGTTCTACCAAATACAATTTCAAACTGGTTCGGCTAATCACAAGAAAGTGGACCCAGAACCCAGAGGTCGACATTACCGAGAATTGGGGTCCCGATAACAACGCAGCTGTCCCATGGAAAAGGACCCGTGAAGATCCGGGGTAGAATGGGTCTTCAGCAACTCATGCTTGCCACAAAAGGCGACTATGCTTGTCGTAAGAGGCGACTAACGGGATCGGCAGGTCAGGCTCGCTGACTTGGTTCACACATGTCATCGGTTCCCAATTGCGCCGATCGATGCTCATGCTGTTGATCACTGGATTGTCTGGTCCAGAATTTTGCTGAGTGCGGCGTAAAACTAAACTCACTCACTCACTCACACCGATGGAAACGCTGTCAGCAATATTGTGTTCACCAGTACCTATTGGTTTAAAATTCATTCCCTTTGTACACATTTGTTTAAATATACTACTCACACTTTGATAAGGATCACAAAAATTCACAACTTTACTTAAACGTAGATGTATAATTTGAAATTGTAGCGATTTAAAACTGGATACATAATGATATGGTAACCCCTCTTTAGGCAAACAGCCACTTTAATATAATCTTATGCACTTGACATTTGAGTAACAATAAACATGGTTTTCATGGCACCAATCAACCTTTTTGCAAATCATGGACTGAGTAATTGACAAATAAACAACACCTGTCAATAGGAGGTTTGGGATCCACAAGATGCAATGACATACTGAAACCTAGGATTCATGCTTACAATAAGCTTGACCCCACATCATAGTTTTCTGTTGAATCCATGATTTGATCCATAGCAAAGCGTGAATAGTATATATTTGATATCATGGTGTTTCCTTCTTAAGATCAACGCATAGACGCAAATATTCACACATGTATACACAACGACACACCGTAAGTCCCCAAACATTCAGGTAAATTTAGACTTGTCAGATTTTTAATCGTAGCATTTTTGTGATTATAAATTCTGGCTATCCAATTAGGATGTAAATCCAATTAGGGCCCATGCAGATACCAAAGGCACTGTAAGTCCCCATGGTCCCTGGTAATCTTCCTTTAGTTGCTGGTGATCATTTGCCCGTTTATTGAGTGTAATGTTCTCTTTAGTGGTATCTTTTTAATAATGACATCTAGTTTTACCTTAATGCCTGTTGTACTCTAGTAGTTTTACTGTCCATCGTCGACAGGTTTTATTATTCAAAATATATTCCTCTTTAATTTATAGTCCCTTATATGGTGATCTACCTTCAGTTGTGGCGATATATAGCCCATTTTTATATTGTATTGTCCCTAATAGTCATATATTGTTTTAGTTAAATGCTAGTTTTAATACCTCAAATTGTGATCTTCTATCTGTTTTACTGTCGACAGATTTTATATTATCTATTGTTAACA